CCTTGCGGATCCACTCCTGCGATACCTGTCTTAAATATAACAAAGATCACGTTGAAATAGATGATTTTTCTTTTTATTGCTTTTTAAAGGCATATGATAACGCCAATTCAGATACATTTGGAAATCTGCAACTGTCAAATGATGAATTTGTAGAACTAATATTCAATATTGAAAAGATATTTCAAAATAATTTTGAAGAATTGGCTACAAAAAATAACATTTGTACCACACTTTTAGAATTAATTAACCCAATACCCTTTAGTCATCCATGCTAACGTTTTCCAAAAGAATAACTTATTTTATTGTATGTTTAATCTCAATAACTAAAAAATATACTGACAATTAGTTTGACAGAATTGTCATTTATTTAAAATTTTAAAAATAATAGCAGTCGGTTGATCAAAATATGAACGGTGATTGGCGAATTTATTTTTTTTGCAGTGTTCTCACTACCTAGAATGGATATGAAATATATTCGTTCAATTGAAGGCAATAGCATACTTTTTCGTTTTGTAATCTGTGCATGGATATTAGCCAATCTACGCACATACTACAAAACGAACAAGTATGTTATTGTGTTCAACTACGAATATATTTCATATCCATTTTAGGTAGTAAGAACACTTTAACAAAATTAAATCTACAAATCAGTTCATATTTTGGTCACCCAACTCCTATTATTTAAAATTTTTTAAATAAGTGACAATTCTGTTAAACTAATTGTCAATATATATTTTAGTTATTGATATTAAATATACATTAAAATTTTTGTGCAGACTCGATAAATAATAGCATTTTTGTTTCTATTGTGTCCACATTTAAAAAAAAATAAATTTTAATTAAACTACATGATACTAATTTAATTACGAGTATTAAAACTAAAGTCCTGAAAGTTTCGGTGAAGATGAAGACAGAGCATCTGCCTTCCACGCGAAAAGTCCGGGATCGAATCTAGGCCGAGGACTAATTAATTTTTCATGTTTATTTTATTTTATAAATTAGTCAACTTCGTAAATTATTTTAAAATTAGTTATTTTGTCTAAATAACCTAAATAATTTTATAATTTGTAGATTTTCGTTAGTGGGTCGTAGAAAAAATATACTGACCATATCGAGTAGATTGTTCATATCACAATCAGACGATTGAGTTCTCCGCCTACGACGTCGTGCTCAAACTTCGTCTTTGTGTGATATGGCTATCATATCCACCCTTGTTGAACAAACTACAATTTATTTGTTTTCTTGGTTTAAGTTTTACATCAGAAATAGGAATTAAATTAATTTACTTTTCAAGTTTTCTTGTAAAAATCGATATTACTTTCTCCAAGTACAAATTTAGTACCTACCTAAAATAATTACTAATTATGTTATATCTTGTAATATTGTAATTCAAATTTCACATTACTATAAAGTTTTAAAATTTCCTACTTCGGTATGGTCAGATAAAAATTGAATATATTATATTAATAAAAACTGTCAAAGTATAACTTCTACAAATCTGTATTTCAAATAATAAGAATACATCTAAATATAACCAATATTGTTAAAACAAAAGCACACATTCTTAATAATTCCAAAATACCATAGAGTTCCCAGACCTCAGTTGAAGCATTCGTTTATCTAGGTATAAACCCTTTGCGCGAAGAGTAACACTTGCCAGAGACACGAGCGTGACACAATTCTTTAACAATTGAAGCCCTTGGTGTAAAATGGATCCAAGCCACAATTTGTCGTGAAGTGACTGTTTTAGCTCAAAACATTTGTTAACGAGGATTTTACTAGCCATATATAAATTATTTTACCTCTAATCCGAAAGATGTGCTATTTTTCGTAATATTTATATTTAAATAATTTTTTTAATTATATTTGACAGATTTAAAACAAATTAAAAATGTAATTTCCCAAAACTTACTTAATATGGCATGTGACCAACCTTATTACGCCAAGGTTTTCAATTTTTTCAATAATAAAAAAATTGTTTAATCCGGGCCCGACTTTTCCCTTGAATCTAACAGAAATAGCACCATTCCGTCTTGCTTGGTTCTCGACCGCCAGATCAAAGACGCCGACACGGAGTTGTGGAGCTGTATTGTATAAGCTGTGCTAATACTACCACCTACTTCATCCGACGAACAATATGACGCAACACAGAAGGTAAGCGCGTTTGAGACACGTTTAACTTATTTTTTTCGACTGTTACAATCAGCGACTTTTTACGTAATATTCCAATCATTCTATTACATTTGCTATATAATTACTATTATTTATGGACATTTGCATGTCTATAAATTACATCTCATGGATATAAAATAGATATCCACCATGGACTGGACATTCAGTGGATATTGGGATGTTCAGTAGATATCCAAACGATTTGGTGTGCTGTCTGTGTATACTACGTCACAGTGGTTAAAATGAGATAAAATCAGGGTTTCATAGAATGTGTCTTTAGTATCAGCATTTAGGTAGCTTCTTTGATTGAAAATAAAAGTAGTTTACGATAATATTCTCTATAAATATAATAAATAAAACACGTATCGAGGTCCTCATCTTTTAATAAAAATGAAAATGCTAGTTATAAATCTCTATAAAAATATAACATTCAATCTTTAGAAATGAGGTAAAGTCCTTTGGTATTGCTTAAAGTCGAAAAAGCCAAGTCGACATCCATGAACTTGTAAGGATGTCCGTAATAGTGAACAAACTCAATTCTATTCATTGTAGATTGTATTTTAGTAACCAAGTAATCAATATGTTCTACTATTAAAGCATCGGGCTTTATCTGTCTAACTCTTCTTGTAGCCATTAAAGACATTAATTGTTTAATCCCCTTCACAGTACAAATGAGCTGTTGCGTAACGGTGTTTGTAATAAAATTCATTTTACTATCATCGGGAGGTTCTCCTTTGTTTTCTACATACTTTTTATCACAATTTTTTATATCGTCGTCCTTAATTGAAATATCTTGTAAAATTGGTTTAGTCTTATCTTTACATTTAATGTATATCATTTTATTTTCTTTTTTATTCGGTTTATTTTCCGAACCTTTACTTTTATTACTATTACTACTTTGTGTACCCTTTCGCTCTTCTATCAAGACTTCTTCGTTACCATAATTAACTAAATTAATATCACAGTTCATTTCTCGAAGAGCTGCTTTTAAATCGAAAGCATCAGTCTTGTGGTTTTTTGTATTTGCAATTTCACAGTTTTCTGCACCAAAACAATTATCAACGTCGCAAATATCACGAATTGGTGACAGGTCAGCGTTCGCCGTTAAGAAATCTTTATAAAACACTTCTTTCGTTAACGCTGGAGATATGTTTTTTTCATTAGCTATTTGGCTAATATTCTTTATTAAATTTGGTTTATCCTTTTTATTATATTTCGATGAACACGAATCTTCTGGTTTGTATCCACTTTCAGCCGAATCATTTTTTTCTAATTTTTGAAATCGCATTGTCGTTAAAATGTAAATGAGATCTGACCAATTTAACGCAACGCATTCCGGTGGGTACACAAAGTCGTTTTCGAAAAATTTTAGAAATGCTCTTATGGCATTTAATAATTCTGCACAGCCATCGGCGTTTGCAGACAACAGACCTAAAAGAAAAGACAATAATTATTATTAAATACTACAGATACGAAAAGTTAAACAAGGATCTTCAGTTTTACAATGAGTTGGACGAAGTGTAATAGGAATGTACTTGAAACAAACAAAGACAACTGTTCAGAGAGGAACGTAGTTGCAGAATACTTATGACTCAAACCAACTTATGCTTGTCTGTTGTCCCAGTTATCAGAGTTATTGTTAGAGTTCTTATTAATAATGGTGTTCGTGAAAACTCTTTATTTAGGTTATTTCGTTGGCTGTTGGTGCATTGTCCACCAGTATCAATTTATTTACCTAGTTTACTTCCTCCTTATATACATGTCGAGTGTAATTCATTGCTGCTGGATAGCTGGTGGAAAAATATCCACCAGTGGACACCACATTGCTGACAGGAAGATGCAGTGGATTTTTAAACAAGTGAATGACATTTTATAGGTGTTTCAACTCTTTTTAAAATATGACACCAAACACTGCAGAATATATAAAAATCCACCAGAGGTCGGTAGAAGATGAAGTACCTCAAATGAAAACAGGTCTTTCCTTTGCATTGAAAGTGTAACACTGAGCTATGCCACTTCTAAAAATATCGTTCCATCCATACAATTTGTATAAATGGACCAATATTTTGAGAAGTGGCGTAGCTCAGTGCTACACTTTCGATTAAAGAAAAAATCTAATGACTGTGAACTGTCAGAAAATAATCAGTTAATTTTATCTTCATCGAGCAAAAAATACATCTGTATCCAATTTTTTTAAAATAATGGTAATTTATTAATGTCTACTAATCATACTCTATGTAACAAACAACATGAAAAGTGAAAACAACAAGAAGAAAAATACTATACCACATACCAGAGCTGCAGTACTGAATACTTTATGTACTTAAAAAAATTACTTAAGTACAAAAAGTACTAAAGTACTGTACTTTAAGTACCTGCAAAAATGCATGTACCTGTACTTACATTTCTAAGTTTTGTCGTTGTACTTGTACTTAAACAGTAAAATGTGGAATTAAGTACTTTTTTACTTAAAATAGCGAAGAAAAAAGACAACTTAAGTACTTATAACATTCTTAAGTATGTCAATGTACTTAAATACCCAGAATGTACTTCAGTACTTCGAAAATTTTAACGGATTTTTCTAGTTTCAACAGGATTTTTCTTGTCTTATTACCGATCCAACGCGTCCCCATGTCACCTAATAAAAAGTCATCGCAAAAGTCATTTGACAATAAAGTTATAAAATTTGTTATCCAACCCTAGCTTCGTAAATTTATTTAACGGAATGAACGTTAAAGTTCTGGACCGTTCAGCAACAACAAAAGCAATTGAGGAAATGTATCAGAAAATGGGCAAAATTATTAAATTAGATGTTTCGTAAGTAAATTATGTATGTACTACCGCCGACATTATGGTCTTCCAAGAGTCGAAGCTTTATTGGGGTCACATGCCATTGGTTGGATAAAGACCTCAAGCGACACTCAGTGGCATTAGCATGTCAAAGATTTGCGGGAATCCATTCATATGATCGAATTGCAGAGACTTTGGAGGACATTCACAAAAAATACAATTTAGATACAACCAAATTATTAGCCACTGTAACTGACAATGGTTTTAACTTCGTTAAGTGTTTTAAAGAGTTTGGTTTAAACATAGTTAATAAGAAACACTCTACTGAAGAAGACAGTGACTTTGAAGAAAAAGAAGATGAAGTCGTGTTTAACCCTATCATTTTATCAGACTCTGAGTCAACTCTCGACAGTTCTAATTTTACACAGGAAAGATATTTGCCGCAACACATAAGATGTGCCTCACCATAAATCTCATTGCAATTACCCATTACAAAAATTCGGTAAATGGTTTATTGCCATTGCAACAAAAAAACACACAAATATTTTCCAAATGTTCTAAATTGTGGAATAAATGCGGTCGGCCGAAATCGGCTGAGATAATACAAGAAGAACTTGAACATAAGTTAAAAGTTCCAGGAATTACGAGATAGAACTCCACTTATGACGCTGTCGTCCGAATTGTTTCCATCAAGGATAAGTTCGAAGTTCTATGTGATAAACTTATAATTCCGGTATTTAAGGAGCATGAAATATCCTTTTTAGAGGAATATATCAAATTAATGCAGCCTCTGATTAGATTAGATTTTTACAGGGAGAGCATAACACCTATGTCGTGTCGTCTACACTTGATAGTTATTTATTTATTATGTTATTAGTTTATACCTTTTATACTTGGATACTACCTGATACTTGTTTCACGGCAATAACACAAACAAATACAAATTCTTGTACAGAAAAATTTATTGCTCGACAAGTAATTGACAAAACATTTTTACTATTTCGATGGTAAACCGGAAGACTGGCCATTATTTTACAATCAGCTAAGAAATGTTATATCTTTGGGGCAGTACAACCAGGAAGAAATAATGATTAAATTACAAAAGTACCTAAAAGGTGAAGCGAAATCAGCAGTTGCTGGAATGATGTTAGCTGCAAGTAACGTTGATCTAGTAATAGAAACTTTAAAAATGAGATTTGGCAGGCCAGAACAAATTATTGACAAATTAATTACAAATATAAAGTATATTCCTTTTATAAAAGAAAATAATCTTGAAAAGCTAATACTTTTTTCGAATGAAGTTGCCAATTTAGTAGCCACAATGAAAACTTTAAAATCTTTTGGGCACATGGCGAATCCTCGATTGCTTAGAGAACTATTGTCTAAACTACCTGACATGTTAAAATTGAAATGGGGACAAGTAGTAGCAACGAGGGATGGAGATGTTGATTTAGAAGACTTCAGCAGATGGATAACAGACCTAGCCAAGGCAACAAGTTATATCGTTACATCGAGCTGGGAGAAGACAGAAAAGAGTAGTTTCAAAGCTTATGTCTCAAAGCCGAAAACAGAACGAGTCCTTAATACTACTCGGTCTTCAGAGACTAACCAGAATAAGTGCAGTTACTGCGATGGTGAAATACATGAGGCAGAATGTCCACGAATGAAAGCAGACGATATAGAGTCACGTTGGAAAGTGGTGACTGAAAAAAAATTATGCTTTTGTTGTTTAAAGAAAAACCACCATAAGACGAAATGCAGAAGCAGAATATCCTGTGGTATTGATAATTGCAGAGCCTTACATCACCCGCTTCTCCATAAGTTAAAAGTTGAACCCGAAAATTCCATACGGAACGAGTCCTTACCTGCAGTTGTTAACAGCCTATATACAGTCAAGCACAAAGCCAATAACATCCTTCTAAGAATAATACCAGTAAACTTGTACGGCCCAGGGGGAAACATGCATGTTTTGGCACTTTGTGATGAAGCATCGACAGTTACGCTGGTAGACAGTAGAATAGTAGTTAAACTGGGATTAGTTGGAGAGCCTCAAGAGCTTTATCTACAGTGGACAAATGAAGTAACATCTAAACTACAAAATTCACGATGCCTAGACATGAATATATCAAATCGTGAGGCGAATAAGAAGAAATACCTACTGAAGAAAGTACACACAGTAGATAACTTAGCACTACCTTCACAGACAATCAAATTAGAAAGTTTGAGACATCATGAACATCTTAAACGAATAACTACAGAAGACATATCCGGAGAACAACCGATGCTGTTGATTGGCCAAGATAACATTCATTTAATAATACCAGAGCAAGTTTTAAGCGGACCAGAAAATGTTCCTATTGCTACAAAATGTAAACTAGGATGGGCAATACATGGCCCAGTTGCTGCAAATGATGTAAACTTTACTGCCTCCACCTTTCATATTAGTGAAAACTTATCCCATGAACATCAACTAGATGAATTAGTAAAACAAAGCTTTTCACTAGATTCCTTCGGAATCGATACCCGTAAGCAGCAGATGTCACCCGATGAAAAAAGAGCAGTGAACATAATGAAAACAACAGCAAAAAGAACAGGAAGGAGATTTGAGATTGGACTTCTGTGGAAAGAAAATGTATAAGAGATGAGAAGTTAGCAGAGGAATATTCTCAGAAAATTAAGAGCTATGTAGAAAAAGAATATGCAGAGAAACTGACACCTGAGGAGGCTGCTATTGAAGGTCTAACCACTTGGTATTTGCTTCATTTTCCTGTAATCAATGTCAACAAGAAAAAACTAAGGCTGGTTTTTGATGCAGCATCAAAATCTTTTGGTAAAAGCCTGAACGATTATCTCTTAGCGGGGCCAGACTTACTGCAATCTTTAGTAGCAATTTTATGGAAATTCCGTCAAGGGAAAATAGCTTTCTTTGGCGATGTTCGAGAAATGTTCCACCAAGTAGAAATCAGGGAAAAAGACAGATGTGCTCAAAGATTTCTTTGGCGGGATCTGCAGCTCAAAAGAGAGCCCGATGTTTACCAGATGAGAGTCATGACTTTTGGAGCTACGTGTTCGCCAGCATGTGCACAGTTTATTAAAAATCTGAATGCTGAAGAACTTGCTGACGACCCCAAAATTCTTAAAGCCATAATGCAAAAATTTTACGTAGACGATTATCTGGAGTCGCTAAACTCTCTAGAAGAAGATATCTACACCATATCAGAAGTAAGACGAATCCTACTGCTAGGAGGCTTTGACTTGGTGAACTGGATGACCAATTCCAGAGAGATTCAAGAACATTTGTCAGCAGATCTGTTAGCGACTACTAAAAGCTTGGGCGATGGACACTTTCATAAAGTTCTGGGAATGTGGTGGAACTCAGAGAACGATACCTTTATGTTCAAGCTAAATAATTACGAAAAGTATCTTAAAGTAAAAGTGAATAAAAGACATGTCCTAAGTTTAGCAATGGCTCTGTTTGACCCACTCGGCTTAATCACCTTTTTTACCATAAGAGCTAAGATAATAATGCAAGACATCTGGCGTTCAGGTTGTGACTGGGATGAGCCGATTCCGGAAAAATTGGAGGGTGCTTGGACAAAGTGGACAAAAGATTTGCAAGAGATAGAAAAAATTGCAGTCCCTAGGTGTTACTCAAGAAATTTACCGGCAGCAAAGAAAATTGAAATGCATGTCTTTTGTGATAGCAGCGAGAAAGCATACGCTGCTGTTTGCTATTTAAGAGTAATTTCCGAACAGAAAATAGACATTTCTATACTAGCAGCAAAGGCAAGAGTATCTCCACTAAAACCACTCTCAATACCTAGGCTAGAGTTACAAGCCGCGGTTATGGCAAGTCGGTTAGCTAACTCTCTACTCGAAGAATTAGAAATTCCAATAAATCAAGTTTACTATTGGACAGACTCCAAATGTGTACTTAATTGGATACGCAACGACGGTAGGAAATTCAAGCAGTTTGTAGCATGTAGAATAGGGAAATTCAAGAGTTGACCAGGCCAGAGGATTGGAACTGGGTACCTACTGATTGTAATGCTGCCGACTTAGCAACAAGATACTCAGAATCACAGAACTTGAATACTTGGTTCTGTGGGCAGTCATTTATACAGGAAAGAGAGGGAAAATGGCCTAAAGAAATGGCAAAGGATGAGAATTTCTTAGATACAGAAGAAATTAAGAAAGAATACACTTGCGACTGCAGTAGAAAAAGATAGTAAACTACTTTTACCCGATATAAAAAGATTTTCAAAATGGTTGCGTCTGATTAGAAGTACAGCGTGGAGTAAAAGATTGATCGAAAAACTAAAGAAAAAACGTTTTCCTGCAGAACTAACGTTAGAAGAACTAACCGACGCTGAAAGAAGATGGATTAGAATTTCCCAAGAAGAATGCTACCCACAGGAAATAACATGTCTAAAGAATGGTAACGAAATTTCAAAGAAAAGTACAATTTATTCACTAAACCCTAGTTTAGAAGATGGAATACTCGTTTTGAATGGAAGAACCGACTTAGCAATCCATATGGATCGTCAAACCAAAAAACCTATCATTCTGAGCCCCAAACACCATTATACAAGACTTCTTGTGAAACACTACCATGAGGAATGTCGTCACTATGGGGTGGAACTAGTATTAAACCAATTAAGACAAAAATATTGGATTGTAAATGGAAGAACAGCCGCTAAAACAGCTTTTTCAAAATGTTTAGTATGCAGACATCAGAAATCACAACCCAAGATACCTCTTATGGGACAAATACCTGTTACAAGATTGAGTCGTGAAGTACGGACCTTCGTGAACACAGGCATGGATTATTTTGGGCCTATCCATGTTTCAGTAGGCAGAAGAAAAGAGAAGAGATGGGGAGTCATTTTTACGTGCATGGCAGTTCGAGCAGTACATCTAGAGGTAGCTTACACACTAAACACAGACTTCACACTGATGGCGATAAGACGGTTCGTTGCCAGAAGAGGTAAGCCAGCCACAATAACATGTGACAATGTACCAACTTGAAAGCAGCAGCCAAACAGCTGGGGACTGACATGAAGGACGAACAGCTGACAGATTCCATGACAGCAAAAGGAATAAATTTCATATTTAATGCCCCAGCAGCACCTTTCATGGGTGGAGCATGGGAGAATGATAGGGAGCGTGAAAAGGGTGATCGGTAAAATTTTACATGAACAGTCTATCAAGGATGAGGTCCTTTTAACCCTTTTCGCTGAAGCTGAAAATATTTTAAACTCCAGACCAATAACAAAGATCTCAACAGATCCTGAAGATCTTAGCCCCCTAACACCCAATCATTTCCTATTCGCGAACGACGGCCAATGCGAATCTTCTACTTCCAGGCCGAATGCTAACTGCTTACGAAGCGACTGGAAGAAGTCCCAAATGCTGGCTGATATTTTCTGGAGTCGTTGGATAAAAGAATATCTACCGACTCTAACCAAAAGAAGTAAATGGAGAGACGACAATGCATCTGTCAAGGTGAATGATGTTGTGACAATTGTAGATGACAATGCACCTCGATACAATTGGAAACTCGGCCTAATTCAAAATCTTTACCCCGGTCCCTATCCTCGGCTATCGTTTTCTAAAAAACGTATACGCTTTAGCAACATACGAGCTATTCGCTATTCTCGACATTCGTTTTAAAAGCGTGTACGCTTTTAAAACGGGTGTTTACAGCGAGCGGAATTTTTCACACGTTTTTGATAAAATGTGCATGTTTTCAAGGATTTAGTC